GGAAGGGGAACCAATCAGAAACCTGTATATCGACCAGGTGTGTGTTACGAGTTTATCAAATTATTCACGGGCCGACCAATGAAATGGCCATAAGCAGAGTCCTACTCTCAGGATTGGGACAGGCTCTCCGTTTGATCAACCAAAAGATAAGACACTGAAGACGTGCTGGGTTGTTTTTTCCATTCGCCTGTCAGTGGCATTTTCAAGCTCGGAACTTCCACACAACAACTCATTATTCATGTGACACTTCCAAGTAATGTGCCTTTTTGACAGTTTGACTTAAGTATACGTCAGTAAATATTTTTCCTCTCCTTTTCCTCATTTTTGTATTATTCTGTCTTAATGATGTTTTTCCACAACACTGAATAATTTACGTTTGTTACGCGCCGCTGTTGTTCGGCTCCGCCCACGGCCAGGACCACTCGGCTCCGCCCTTGCTCCGCCTCCCCACCTGGACCCCCGCCCACGATTCCCCGCAAGACCGGCCGTCACTTCCGCCCGGCGGAAGTGAAAAGCCGGACAGAAAGAACCTGCTGGAGCTCTGCTCATATCTTGGATTGTCTTTGGTTTGCTTATTGGTTTGATTATTGTGTATGACGGTTTTGGTTTCTCGGATTACGATTTCTCGCTTTGCCCTTTCTCTGTACTTCTGCCCTGGTTTGTTTGCTTTCTGGTTTTCGATCTTTCACCCGGTTTTTGTTTACGACTTCGCGCGCCCCTCGGACTGCTTTGCTCTGTGTATGTGCTGTGTGTGTGTGTGTGTGTGTGTGTGTGTGTGTGTCTGGTGCGTAGGGAGTGATTGCCGTTTTGTTTGAAAGACTCTATGTATACTGTGGTTTGGTTAGGGAGTAGATCACGTTAGACACAACACTGTTGTTACAGGCACTATATGACAATTGACTGAATTGAATAACTAAGTGATTAAAGACTAAGAAACAAATCCTGGAAATCAAGCTGCCTGCTGTCAGGTCCCAAGTGTGTACCCTTATATCCACTGTGCTATCTAGGTATCTATCAGATGTTATCACTGATCTTTCATTACTGCACCTACGACAGCGTCAACCAAGGAAGCCCAAACATGCGCAAAACGTTCACTTGTAAAACCTGTCTCACATTCCACCAAAGCCATGCTGGCTTCATGAACATAACATGGACATAGTGGCTGGTACACATTTCCATTACCTTGCTCCCACTACTATGTCACCATTGGGAAGAACACAACAGCACCAAATGGACTGAGCGGGAAGACGGATGGTCTGGGTGCATTCTCCACGCCTCCATATCCGCACAGTTCGATCCTCTCCTGTGCTCACAAAATCTGAAAGGAGCCGACATCACCAACAGATGAAGAAATAACGTGCAAATCGCACATTTCCCAATGTATGATCATTAACAGCATCTGTGTCTAGGGTTGGAAAAGGGTGGAAAATTTCTGGAAACTTTCCACGGGAAGTATGGTTGCAAAGGCATGGAAAATTTTCAGAAACTTTCCATGAGAAGCTGGGGAATTTTGGAAATATTGAACCCTGTGGAACTCCACACGAGCTGTCAGATACAGCAAAAAAAAAAAAAAAGCAAACTATGAATGCAACTTAGAAGCAGTTCATTTTGAGGCAGATGCTTATTTTTGGATGTTTTTACACACGTAATTACTCACAAGCACATGGTTACACAATGATATCGCTATTAGGGCCATCAAAATGTCTTATTTTCCTCAACTACATTTAAATTAAATATGTTCACCTGCAATTTTTCAAAATTTCCCGTTTATTCCCATTGATTCCCAAATATTCCGGTTAATTCCCATGGAAAGTTTCCAAACTTGAAAATTCCCAGAATTCTGCAACCCTATCTGTGTCTCTGTGAAACTGTCTCACAAGACAAAGACATTCCCAGTACCATCTATCTGCACAGTAAAGTTTTCCCAGTTATGACTAATAGGATTGCGTATCCATTTAGACTTGTCATTGGTCTGAAACAAGGCTTTCATAAGCAAATGTGCCCGCCACCCCAAACCTCAGAGCGGAGAGGCACCTTGTCCGTTGGGGAACACCGCCAGGCTGTAGATGTAGTTGGTATGGCCGTAGTAGACCTGCAGGCACTCGCCCGAGACCATCCACCTCCTGATGCTGGCGTCGTTGCTACATGAGAAGAACTCAACGTCGTTGACAACCGCAAGACCGCGGACACAGTCCTCGTGTCCTGCAGAGCGAATCATAAAGCATCTGCAATGTAAGTCACCGTCCCGTCTTTCCAAGGACAGAAATGTTTTTTCATTGCATGTTATACATGCAGACTGACATAGTCACGTGTGATCAAAATGCAACATTTGGCTTATTCATAAATGAATCCATTTTTATGATTCTGAGGTTGTGCTGTGGCCTCACACCTCCAGGGCTGGGGGTTTGATTCCCACCCCTGGATCTCTGTGTGGAGTTTGCATGTTCTCCCCAGATACCCTGTCCATGTACATTGAGTTTAGAAGAATGGGTCTCCCTAAATTGCCCACATGTTGTGTATGTATGCATGTCTGCCATATAATAGACTGGCATCCCATCAAGGACATCCTCTGCCTTGTGCCCTTGTGTCACATCCAGTACAGATCAGCAGATGACTCACCAACAAATGTCTTTTCACAACGGCCAGCCTTCCACAGTTTGATCGTCTTGTCAGCAGATCCTGTTAGCATAAGACCTTGTTCGGGCAATATAACCACGGTCCACACTGCAGCCGTGTGGCCCTGCCAACAGCGAGAGAGACACCGTGCTGTTTACTGACTCCCATGCAAAATCCACAAACCTTGCAAGGTAAAAGCAAATAAATAAAAGGCGTGGTATTAAGGCACAGAACTCCCACGGCTGCTCACCTGTAAGGTCATCATGCATTTGTCGTTTAGCCATACTTTGGCTGTTGTGTCCCAGGAGCCGCTGAGGAGTGTCCCGAACTTCCCCGCAGAGAGACTGCACACTGCTCACACAAAACAGCAGCAGTGTTAACGGAAACACCTTTTACTGAATCTGATTAAAATCCACTACTTCCCATTCAGGCCATTGTACTATCCATTATGGAGGAGAGCTGGTTCTTAATGTGTATTAAACTTGTTAAACCGTAAAAGTCTGTTGCTGCCTGTTCCAATTACACATATACACCTGCTAATTTATTATTTCAGTTGACTAATCTTATCTTTAAATATTAATTTCTGTATTATCATAATATTCTGTTTTCAGGATATTTTATTTGTGTACTGTGTACTTTTAAAATCTGTTTGCACTACGTTTACTTGTAAATGTGTACCATCTTTGCACCTTGTCTGTTTGCCATTATATGTACGTTCGTCTGTTCTTGCTGCAGTAAATACCAAAGTTTCTCACTGCAATCAGTAAAGTTCATCTTAATCTTAATAATTAATATTTATCAGCTACAAATATATAATCACAGATCTGCTTCTTTTCCTATTACTAGAAAACAAAACATTCTACTCTTTAAGCCAGGGGTGGGGAACCTGATCCATGGAGGGCCGGCGTGGGTGCAGGTTTTTGGGATGGCCTCTCAATCAGCCAATAACAGTGGGTCTCCAGGACTGGAGTTGAGAACCACTGCTTTATAATTGGGTGACTGAGAGGTAATTCCAAAAACCTGCACCCAGACTGGCCCTCCGCAGAACAGGTTCCCCACCCCTGCTTTAATCTATATTTTCAGTGCATTTCTATTAGATTGCCTGCCCATTAATTCAAATGAAATACTGCTATTTTCGTTTCAGTCTGGACCAGTGTTTTCAGGGATTTTCTATAACACCCCAGAACATCACCCTGGAGAGGACGTCAACACTTGGGCGCTGTGTGGTACCTGTGTTTTTGTGGCCCTTGAGTGTAAAGAGTGGATCAGGTCTGTCCAGGGAAAAGACACAAATGATGTGATCGTTTCCGCCCGTGGCGATGAGGCCTCGTGGGTAGCTGTCGTTGGGAGCGATGATGCACACGCAGGACACGAAATTGTTATGACCCCTCATGCAGTGCATTTCTGTAAACCCCCTGTCTGGACTGAACAGACACGAAGACAAAGAAATGAGGATGACAGCACTAAACTTACATTGAACTAGAAACAACACGTATATGCTGATCAATCAAACACTGCAGAAATCATAGCACTTCCGTAATTAATTTACGTAGCAAATTCATTTCTTGTAAAACTCGGGACCAGTGCCGTTTCATAATCTCCGGAAATGTTTTAGGTCTTAATAGGGTATTTAAATTTTTGTGATGACTATTCATATGCCAGTTTAGCACGAATGCTGGCTATATACAACTAAAAAATAAATGTCATGTGTATGAGTCACGTGATGGTTAACGACTATTAAAAAAATCATTCTCTTTCCTTTAATTGATTACTTTAAGCGCTAAATCTCTTTATTAAAGAAAACTGTTTATGCATGTACTGTAACTAACGAGTATAAGCAGCTAGTTGTCTGGGGGTGCTTAATGGTCTGATAAACACAGAAGTTTCATTAGACTGGACTGTCTCAAAACAACAGTGTTTTAGTTGTACTGGTATTAAACCGCCTGGCTAATTAAACCAGTTAAAGCACATAGAAACAAACGCTTCACAGCCATACATCCCATCCTGCCTGTCAGTTTACCTTGAATTGGGCACCCAGACTTTGCCGGTTCTGTCTCTGGATACAGACACAAAGGCTCCGGCGGGGAAAACAGCAGTTGCAAGTCCTCTTACATCAATTTCGTGGCCAGGAACAGAAGAACTTAGCTTGTATGTACCAGATGAAGCCATTGTGTGCAATCCAACAGCAAAGTAACAGGAGCTGCAGCTACTATTATTAGCGAGAACAGCGTAACAAGGAACTGACACAGCAACAACAGCGCGCCGGAAGTACATCGAGCAACAACCCCGCTGATGCATGGCGGGAAAAATCATTTTACAGCGCTGTGTCCATGCCCATTTTCACTTAATTCACTGAAATGCATTCGTTAAAAGTCATTAAAATGACTTTGGATCATGTCGAATTATTAATCATGTGCTTTAAAAAATCACTATTTTTTACTTATACACGTGTAACCCCTCCCCCCACAAAACATCTCTCGCAAAATCTAGTCTGTTTTGGCGGCCATGTTGGTAGGGTCGCTCTGTAGTATTTATTGTAATTATAGTAACGTATGTTGGTTTATATCACGTTTATATAATCTGAGCCTTGGTTGTGGTGTAAGGTAGGTGCGTGTGATTATGTTTAGTACCTGTTATTTTTATGTTTTATCGAAATCTTCCATTTTTAACTTTCTAGCCTTTTCATTGCCTGTTTTGCAGTTCCTTATGTAACACTATTTATATTTAATACACGTTGGTTTTAAAATTAGATGTAGACCTTCAACATGTTCAGATTTAAGTTCCCTTCTTAACCATTGCGACACCTGCTGTAAGATATCCCGATGTAAACCTGTCATAGCCTAGATGTACAAGCATCTTGTAAAAAACTATTGTGATTATTTTTATGTTTGACACAGAAATATTGAATGACTAAATTCGACAATCGAAGCAAGCATTCGCATGAAATGACATTTGCTTTGTTATGGTTACATTTTTCCCCAAAAGGCGTTGTTTAGCGGGGGTGGCAGGTGATGCAGCGGTGAAGATGGACTTGTTACTCGATAGCTGCGGATCCCAAGCCCGGGCGCTCCCACTGGATCACACCTGAGCAAGGGCGTCAAACGCGAATTACTTCCGTGAAAAAGATTCCCTGCCGAAAACGGCGAAGTTTGGGAAGGGCGCCGCCCGAGCCGGATGGGCTGCGCTCCATATCCCGAGCTGTGATTTTTGTCCGTGATAAGGGGCCGTTTCCGGAGCTGCCCGGCGGGTCGAGGAGCGGAGACACGTCGCCCGGACTGCAATCGGGAGTGATCCGGTGAGTCGGGCTGCCATCCGCGCTATTCCGCTGCTTTTCACCTCCATGCGAATCAGGCGGATGTTTGTGGGATAGCGCCGGCTGCGTTATCGGCACAGTCTCGGACTTTAGATGATGAATTGGGGTATGCTGAGCTGGGGCGCCGCCTAATATGCGTATGTCACGGGGCAGGTAACCAGCTAGCTACCTGAGGGCTTCCAGACGGGCATGTTTTTGGGAGCTAGCGATGCCGGCTATTCCTACGTGACTGGGTGAGGGTGGGGTCCGGCTGTCCCCGGCGCAGCTACCGGCCAGGTTCCGCTGATGCGGAGAAGTACCTGCATTATACCGCACCTGTTAGCTAGCCGGCTAACCTAGGTTATGGACTCCAGACTCATTTTAATCCCATTTCTGCTTATAAATATGACATTTTTATACATTAGTAAAACAGGAGTGCTTACTGGAGATATTATGCAATATTAGCTGACATCAGCTATCTGGTTGGGTAACGTTTTCGCTATGACAGTCGGAGAGTGGGGGAAACTGTTCGACTAAATAACGCTATTGCATTTTGCTTGAGATTAAAGGCAATAGGTAGCTAAAATGATTATAATAACTCGCACACCAGTGTTTTATACTTTCTTATACTTGCCAATACACACCTTTCAAAATAGAGGAGGGTATGTTTCGTAAGCTGTATAGATGACTGTAGACATAAACCGTCCCCCTGATTAGTCGCACTATACCAGTGGAACCGATTATTGCAGTATCTGGTTAGTTGATTGATCGATCGATGGATCCATCCATCCATCCATCCATCCATCCATCCATCCATCCAATCTAATCTAATTTAATCATGATGCTTGCCAGGTCGCTCTGAGATTGCTGAGCGCTGTGGCTTTGCTGTGGGTAAAAAGATTGATCTATAACCTGAAGGTTGTCAGTTCGAATCCGGGGCTGTTGTTCAGCAGTGATGTACTTAACATGCCTTTCTTAAATATGATAACCTGCGTTATGGGCTCACGGGTGACAAAGCTTTGACACCGAATGTAAATTAAATTACAATGTATAACCTAGATTATACACGGTTATAGGTGGACAGTATGAGGCAGATTGTTTCTTTTCACATAATTAAAAAAAGACAGATATCCAGTTCCTGAACATGTAAATTTATAGTTTGAGAAGAAAAAGTCGTATTGGAGTATAAAGTTGCAAAGACTTAAAAATAAGTTTTCGGGTTTCCTTAAAAACAACTCAGCCTTATAAGGAATTTTATTCCAGAGCAGATTTATAAAGCTGTCACACAAGTGGATTAATTTGCAGTCATAGATACTGTGATTTAGTGATACTGCAAAGGGTTTTCAGCTGCTTTTGTTAGTGGCAAAAAAAGAGCTTTGACTTGGAGCTGGAATGTCTTTGTGAGCAAACACAGTGAGACACACCTATATGTAAAACAAAAAGGGCAGCAGAACGTGAAATGTCAGTAGTGGCCTGTTGTTTGTTTTAAAGGCTGATTTGTACAGTACAAAATGTATTTTCAATTAATAAAATTTGGCAGCATTGTTTAAAAGTTAAGCTATTATATCTTGTTTTCTTATTTACAAAACTGGAGCAATTCTAACCTGTGCAGAGTAATCAAATAGATACTTAAACCGTTACGAAGCATACCAGTGTTTATGCTTTAACAATAGTTGGCAATAGTCATGTAAAAAAAAAAAAGTTTAACCCACAGGTCCCTGATGGCAGGGGTGGCTTTGAAGTGTAAACCACAGAAAGGTAAAGACCTTCTCCTCCCCCTGGCACAGGGTGGCACCATAGCTGGTCACGTGGAAATGTAGACGGATTGGTTAGGGTGTCCTGACCTGCTGTGTTTCCAGTTGTGCGGTATTAAGGGGTGTTGGTTTGCAGCTAGACCAGGGCTGGGCAATCTTATCCGCAAAGGGCCGGTGTGTATGCAGGTTTTTGGGATAACCTGTAGGTCAGCTGTTCAAACCCAGGTGTGAGGACTCTTCAGCCAATCAGTCCTCTAATTAGTGACCTAATTAGGGAGTTGCAGCGAAAACCTGCATACACACCGGCCCTTTGCGGATAAGATTGCCCATCCCTGAGCTAGACAGACGCACAGGAAAGTGCTTACATAAAATGATTTGCTTGACTGGAAGACTTTCCTCAATTTCGGGGCAGCGTGTTGCTCAGTGGGCTAAGCCTGTGTGCCTGTAATCAGAAGGTCGCCAGTTCAAACCCAGCCTCAGCATGTCTGTGGGTCCTTGAGCAAGGCCCTTAACCCCCAGCTCCCTGGGTGCTGCTACGAGTGGCTGCCCATCACGGACAACTTACTCTACAAAATAGAGCAAATTGAGGGAGGCGTAAAGACAATTTCCCCACGGGGATCAGTAAAGTATTAATTATTATTAATTCTACCTCATATTACGTTCTCAGTCATAGGGCATTCTGTTTTGGGTCTATGTGCCAACATTAGACCTGGGCAGTATCTAATTTTCATACAGTCATATCGTCCAGACATTATACCGTGGCATTCAGTATTCTGTGGCAGAGATTTAAAAATACTGCAGTGTGCTATATAACCGTAATACCGCCCAAATCTAGTCAATGTGAATTCAGCTGGTTGCATGTTTGGTGTGTCGCATTCATGCACCTTTCGCTGGCTGTGCAGTTTAGTTAAAATGTTGGTCTCCCAGTGGTAGCAGTACAACTGGGGGGCTCTTTCAGCACCACTATGGACTCCCATCCAGGTTACTCTCTGTATGTCGAGCACATCAAATGTAACCGTGTTTGCTAGTTCATTCTGTTGGAATTCCCATGCCTGCTTGCCTACCCACTTTCAGATATATTGACGCTTTAGAAGCGAAACGGTTACAATCGATGTTTTGGGATGGCATAAGTGTGCCCAGTCGATGTGTCGCGTAATCCCTCCCGGCGCTGTTGTGTAGGGTAGGAAAGCATTGCTCTCAAAATGTGTTCCTGGAATGTGTTAAAACCCCCCCCCCCCCTCCACTTTGCCCCGCAGTTTAAGTGGGCTGTTGTGCCACTTCTTGGCCCAGGGGAAGCGATTATCGCAGACCCAGCTGAAAACACCTGTTACAAGCCATTGCCTGTAGGCAGGGATCTCGCCGCTCCGTGTGACGTGCAGATGGAGCTGTATGTAACGACAAAACGGTTTGGTTTTGCATGATATGTGATTCGGGGAGGCACCGTGGCTCAGTGGGCAGCGCTGTTGCTTCACACCCCTGTGGTCTCCTCGTGTCGTGTCAGTTTCCTCCTGCAGCCCAAAGACACACAATTAGGCTAATTGGTTGGTGTCTCTAAATTGCCCATAGTGTGTGTGAGTGTTGGCGTGTATGTATTTCGCGATGGACTGCCATCCTGTGGGGGGGGGTGTTCGCCCCAACCTTGTGCCCTACGCTGCCTGGGTTGGTCTAGAGGCATTCCTGCAAGACCTTGTCCAGGATAAGCTGCTGGATGGGTGGATGGATGGATCTCTGCAACTCAGAAGAGCTGAATGTTGCAACGGTGCATCTAGGGTTGATTCAAGTCACACAACTCATATTTAACACTTTCTCTACCTAGAAATGGATACCACAGCCAAGACACTGAGCATGTTTATTAGCCGCTTGTGCCATAGTTAGCATCGTCGTTGATGACGGGTGGGTATGGATTTGAGCTGTTGATTGTATTAAATGTCCCTGATTGGCCTGTAGATCCTATCTCAGCGTCAGTGAGCCTTTATGTAGATCTTGTACTTTGGCTTCTGGTTTCTATGGCGATGGAGCATCCCTACCGTCTCGCCCGAGCCTTTCATCAGCCGGGCACTTTACCCCCATGATGGAGTAAGTGCTCCGGGGCGTGGTCTCTCATCCCCGGGTACTTTATCGCCGGTCTCCCCACCAGGGCTCCAGCATGAAGCCCCGGCTGCACTTCGTGGTGGATCCCATGGGCTGGCTCTGCGTCAGCCTCGTCTTCCTCATCTGGCTCTACAACTCCTTCTTCATCCCTCGGCTGGTGCTGCTGCCCCACCTGTACGAGGGGCATATCCCCTGGACCGTGGTCGTAGGTGAGAACCTCCCGACTGACCCTGCTGCCTCACTGGCTCACACATGCTCACGATCCATGGATTAAAAGTCTTCTGTTCCCAGGCGCTATCGGTTAATACCGTTGTCTGCAGTTGGGCTGATTTGGCGCCGTCGTCGTTTCGCTCGTGTTGCCTGGTAGCTGGATTCTTCCTCATGGCCATCTTTTCTGCTAGGCTACTACGTGGCATCGCTGCTCTGTGTCTCCGCCCTGTTCAGGGCCTCCACTGCGGATCCTGGCCGACTTCCCCAGAACCCTCACATCCCTCATTCCGGTAAGCGAGCCCCCCCCCCCACCCCCCCACCCGCTTCCCTCTGGCAGCTCTCTACCAGTCCGCTGTGATGTCATTTCCAGTAAACCTGACATCTTCATAACGGGCTTGTTCAGTGTGTGAATTATTGATGGAACGTCCGCGCAGAAGAACCGAAACGGGGCCTTGGCTTAGATTCGCCCCCGAGTTCCCCGGTTAGTCACATGACACCCTTTTTCTATTTACCTCAAGCTGTATTTCACTGGCAATTCAATCACTGCAATTCTCAGACAAATACTGTGAACCAAATAAAATATATATATATTTTACAAACTCACCCAGGAGAACATTGCGCTCTGTTTTTGCTCTTTATAGAGCTCTGGCCCATTTCTAACTGTATGATTGGCCCTGAGCAAGCAAGAAAAAATAAGCTCTATATATCGTATCATATTGCAGTATTACTTTTCTATAAGTAGCTTTGCTGTTGCTATTTTTTAGTTTAGTAGTTTTTTTTCTTTTATTATTTATATGATCTTCTGCAGAGATACTTATCTTGACAGCTATTTTCTTTTGATAAAATGCAGTGTATTTTTCTGCCACCAGTTGATTACCTCATTCGTGTGAATAATTTAAAACATTTTTTTTGGTGACTGGCTAAGTTATTCTGACTGCAGATATTTTTTGTTTTTAAAGGGTTGCTTCACTGAACTATCTTTAAAGCAGTGAATTCTTGGGATGTAGTTATTTTGGAAATATGTTTTTAGTGCATCTTATATTTTGTCTGTATAGATGCCTTAAAGCGATTAAGGTGATATAATGAGTTTGTGATTTTGTTTTCCGGCCTGTGCCTTGATTGTTCCTGTCACCCTGGATGCCACAGTGTCACTTATCCTGCTTGTCACGTATCTCATGAGGATTTGAGGCCCTTGGCTGTGCAGTGAGTCAGATTATGGGGGCATAAGATCGCTGCGTTGGTCAGAAAGGGACTCACCCGAAGGATTATTGAGAAAAACCCCAGCCACCTTCTGCGGGGATTACATGCTAAGCTCGATGGCGGGCATCTGCTCCGCAGCATCGTCATCGTCACGGCCGGCTGTGAAACTACCTAACAGCCTCGGATGGCCTGACTCTCAGGACTGACTCTCAGGACTGACTCTCCTGCCGCCAAACCCTCGATAAAGAAAGAAAACTGCACACATAAGCCGATGATCCCGGAGAAGCGACTCGTCTTTAACTTTCCACCAGACGTGCAGAGATTTTAGTTCATGACTGTAGTTAACTGCTGATTCCTGGGAGCTTAGAAAGTTAAAAAAAATACCCAGCAGTCATTAACTGGTAATTAGCAGCAAAGTATCAATTTATCCCTTCTGCAGTACTGTGGCCAAACTGCGCTGATTTAGCAAAGCCACCAGAGGGCAGTATTGTATAATATCTGATCTGTATTTTGATAATGACAAAAAAAATTTCAGGACTGTGCTGCTCATGAGGATTTTTCTAAAATTTCAAAGAAAGTGAGAATTTCATGAAAAGCAGATCAGTACAGCAGGTTTGGAGAGGATGCTGTTTCTGTGCTAAAGTGTGAAGATCATTCAGCATTTTGTAGTACATAGGAATGGTTCCCCGCACAAACACGATAAACTAAAAATGCAGACTGCATCACATGGCACTTTAAGTGGATGTTCTCTGAGAACCTCCAGTGTTGGTCAGGTGATCGTGGTCACATGACCTGTGATCCACTGCGATGGTCTTTGTTGCAGAGCGTGAACAGTGGGAGCTGTGTAACAAGTGTAACCTGATGCGGCCGAAGAGGTCCCACCACTGCAGCCGCTGCGGACACTGCGTGCGCAGGATGGACCACCACTGTCCCTGGTGAGGCCGGTTCAGCAAGAGCTGCTGTCCTTACTGTGGTATTTGGGACAGCAACGTGTGTTTCTTCGAGCGGTTTAGTCAGCGAAAATTTTAAAACCGCAAAATTCTGCACAGTTTTCAGAATTTTAATCCGAAATGAGCTGCAACTTCACTTCCACCAGAGTGGCAGGCAGCTTGCATGTGGTTTACTGGGCTGCCTCTGCTGGAAGGGGACTCAAACCCAGTGCTGCCCTCTACTGGTACCGGGAGCATCCTGCAGGGAGAAAGAGACCCCCCCCCCCCCG